AGCTCACTGCCCAGACTAAAAATAGCCCCTGCCCAGCCCCAAGCTGCTGTCTGGGGGAGGGGATGGTGGGACTTGGTGGGAACCAGGGTTTTAGTTAGTCAGCCTGACAGAACTTAGGCTTGGGCCTATGCTTTCAGATGGTGATGGAAACTCTGGAGAAGAAAGGCAGCTTGGGGCTGGGAGAAAAAGAGAACCTGAGGGTGCAGCAGCCTGCCGCAGGGGCATCCCTCAGCTGCTCAGTCCAGTCGCTCTTGTGCCTTTGCCTCACTGGCTCTTTCTGTCTCCTTCCTCTGTCTGTGCATCTGTCCCCACCTTGCCCACGCCTCCTCCCACTAGCAAGCAGGCTGCCCGACTGTGGGGGTGACAGGTGGATTGGATTGTCGCCCCCTCCCCCAGCGCCTGCTGCTTATTTCATGCCCTGCAGCCCTACCAGGGAGAGGGTGGAGGAGGGTGACAGCTGTCTTCAGTGCAGCCTGCCTTCCCGAGTTCCAGCCTGAGGCCCCCCCAGCGGCCTAGAAGGGAGGGGGAGCGCCTAATGAGAGCAGTTCTCTCGTTGTCTCCCACTCCCTTCAGGAAGAGCCCAGGGCTTGGCCTTTCTGGCCTCTCCTCCGTTAGAGCCTGCTGGTATAGGGCTCCGGAGTCTGATGCATGTGGCTTTTCAGAGCCTTAGGACACCAGGACACAGTGCTCAGGGCAGAAAGGTGTGAGGGAGCAGAAAATGGGGGTGCATTGCTAAAGAGTAGAGGGAGGATGGAGACCGCTGGGGAAAGGCGCTTCCTCCCTGGCCCTTTAGCAGTGGCTACAGGAACCTGTCTTGACCTCACTCCATCTCCACCCAGGCCCTTCACACAGGAACTGTGATGCCTCATTCTGAAACCCCAGAGTGGTTTGAGTATTGCTCAGGTACTAAGAGGTGTGACATAAGGGAGACAGGGGCCTAGTCTCCATGACCCTTCATCCAGCACCCCTTCAGTTTTCACTTGCCCCTCTTTTGCATTTAAACAGTGCCAGTTGCCATGAGATCCTAGATCCCAGACTTCCCTGCCCCCATAGCTACCCTGCTGTTGGCTTACTACAGATCCCACCAGCCAGTGCTTTCACCTTTCTGCTGCTGTTGTCACAGCCTGCTGGTAACACCACCCTGCCCAGCTAGAACCTACTGAGGGGCACTGCTGTGATACAGCCTTGACTGTAAGGTCAGGATGGGAAGGCCCCTGGGGCCTGGCACCTCAGCATGGTTGCCCAGGGCTACAGACTAGACTTAGAAGAACAGCAACCCAGCCAATGCACATTGTTAATCCCAGCACTTGAGAGGCAGAGGCCAGTGGATCTCAGAGTTCAAGGCCAGCCTGGTCTACAGACAGCCAGGGCTACACAGAGAAACTGTCTGGGAGAAAGCGGGAGGGAGAAGAGCAGCAGCCCAAAGACCAGAGCCTCAGAAAAGCAGGGCTGGCTAGGTTAGGCAGGAGCAGAGCCTGCAGCAAGAGAGCAGATGCCTCTGGCTCCTAGCAGTTAGTTAGGTTGTTGAACAGAAGACTAATTAAGCAGGTCCAGGTGTTCATGAAATCCTCCTGATAAGAGTAGGGAAGTTTGGGCAAGACAGCCCCATGCCTTGAATGGGGTCAGTCTAGGGTACTTTGTGACCATCTCAGCCCAGACACCATTCTTCCAGAACGAAGATTGAGTTCATATTCTTGCCCCAGGGCTTCCAAAGAATCTGAAGCAATGTGGAACGGACAGCAGAGGGGACAGAGCCTGCTTTGTAAGAGAACTTGTGGTTAGCTAGGAGGAAGGACTGGCCAAGGCAGGGTCTGTCCCCTGGCAGGGTAGTTCTGGCAGAGGAAGAGTAGCAGTGATCGAGACCCTGGGAGGCATGGGGTTATATAAATGGCTGAGCTAGTATAGAGGGAGTCAAGGTTGTTGAGGCTTGGCCTCTTAAACAGACAGGTTCCCTCTGATAAAGGATACTCACTAGGTCTCTCTGGCTTCCTTGCCTTCTCAGCCATGATCTCTCTCATATCCTAGCTCCCCCAGCATGCGGCAGGGATGGGGGGGGCAGTGTAGAAGATCAGCCAGGGAGCTGGTTGCCAGGCGACAGTTGCCTAAGCAACCCCATCCTCTCCATCTCCATGTGCTCAGGGCTGCTCCTTAGAAGACTTAGAGTCTCACCCTTTGCACTAGCCGAGCTGAGTGTAGGGAGGGATGAGGGTGAGGGTGGCAGGGTTGGTTGGAGAGTTGGTGATGTCTGAACTGATAGGCTTTGAGGGCAGCTGATAGAAGGTTCTAACTCCACAGAGGACAGTGAGAACAGCAGGACAGACAGAGATTAGACTGCAGGAAGGACTTCTACAGGCTCATAATATTTTCTTTGTATAGGTATTTCCTGGGATCTTTCTACAGTCAATAACAGTAAAAAGCCAAATTCAGTTCCTGCTTCATGAAGCTCTAACCTTGGGGAACCAGGCACAGAAGAGAAACACAATTGATAATGCTAGAAAGATTGTTGGGTTAGGTTTTTTGAAAAACTGAAAACACTGGGGACAGTTCACTCCAGCCTGCCTGAGGAGACAGCACTGGCCATAAGCAGGCGAGAGGCTCTGTCACCCAGAATCTGTCCGTGGTCTGGGTGGTGACAGCGCACACCTTTAATCTCAGCACTCTGGAGGCAGAGGTAGGCCTGTGAACTCTGGGAGTTCAAGGCTAGCCTGGTCTGTAAAGTGATTTCCAGAACAACCAGGGCTACACAGAGAAACTCAGTCTCTAAAAGCAAAGAAAAATAAGCAAACAAATAAAAAGAGTGCCTGTGGTCTGAAGGTAGAGAGCAGGAAACAAAGAGACAAGAAGGAAGACAGCCACCTAGCCGGTGGGGAGTCAGGGCACCCTGAGTTGTGGGCCTAGATTGGAGTTCTGAGACTGAGCCAGAGAGAGCTATCTAAAAAGGCCAATTTACTGTAGCCCTTGCCCCAGTGTGCCTTCTGACCGCCCCAGCCCAAGGAAGGCAGTTGTGGGTACCTCTGAGAGTTAGGATAAAGCCTGGAGGTTCTGGATGGAACCCCTACAGTGGATTGGGCAGAGATTTGGGTTACAGGCCCGGATTTGGGCCACATAGGACTCTAGGCTACTGCTGCTGGTCTGGGATATGGGGAGTGGCCAGAGGTAGGCCAGGGACTATGGAGCTCCTCAGATATCGGAGCAAGAGGAGAGGTGCTAGTTCCCTCCTTTGGTGACCTATACATGCAGACAAATTGTCCTTCCTTCAGGGCAGGAAAGCTGAGGTGCTCTCTGTGGATGCTTAGGCTGAGTGGAAGCTAGACAAGCCCGAGGGGCAGTCCTGTGATCTGTGGTGATCTTAAGCAGGACCAGGTCCAGACCTTCCCTTCCCCACCCCATCCATCATGGTTAGGTACCCAGTGAACTAACTACGTCACTTACTCTGTACTCTTCAGGACTTGTGGAATAGGCTAGAGAGGCTAAGGTTCCGTTGAGCAGCCACTGGGACCCTGCTGTTGCTGAGGAGCCTCTTACCTCCTTGCCTGTGTCTGTTCACCATGTACATGCAGTGTCTGTGGAGGCCAGAAGATGACGTCAGACCCCCTGGAACTGGGTTACAGATAGTTGTAACCCTCCAAATGGGTGCTAGGAACTGAACTCAGTCCTCTACAAGACCAGCAAGGGCTCTTAATTAAATGCTAAGCTGGTTCTTCAGTTTCCTCAGTGTACCCTCTTTGCATATCTCTCACCTCCCCGCCTATTTATTTATTTATTTATCTATTTTTTGTTTTTTTTTTTCAAGACAGGGTTTCTCTGTATAGCCCTGGCTGTCCTGGAACTCACTCTGTAGACCAGGCTGGCCTCGAACTCAGAAATCCGCCTGCCTCTGCCTCCCAAGTGCTGGGATTAAAGGCCTTAGCTACGATCCACCGACTCTCCCATCGTCTTTGTCAGTTAGCTGCCTGCCTGTAGCCAAGCTTAAACAGTACAGAAGAATTTACAGCTGGCAGCGCTGACTCTCTGGCCTTTTACAGAAACACTTACCTGAATGGGGGTAAATTCTGCAATGGAGCATTTACCTAGGGAATGTGAAACTTTAGCTTCCATACTTGGAATACAGTAATCAGAGAAAAAAGCCAGACTTTGTGATGTAGGCCTGTGACCATAGCTTATCAGGAGGTTGAGGCAAGAGGATCACAAGTTTAAGGTTGGCCTGGGAAACTTAACAAGACCTTAGCTCAAGAAATTAAAATGGGGGCAGAGCACCCGAGCATGTACAGGACCACTGGATTCAGTCCTCAGTGTAAGGTGTTCTGGAAAATACATTTGCTGCCCTCTGGTTTGTCTGTGTCTAAGTAGCAGAACACCCTTCAACAAAACTGTACTAGGGCTGAGCAAATGAAGTACACTAATGTACCCAACCTGATTAGGGTGTGCACCCTATAACTCCAGCCCACACTGTCCCCAGATTTAGTGAGTTCATGTAAGTAAGGGCTGTGCTGACAACCTGGGCTGGGATCCCAGGCACCCTTATGAGCATTGAACATCCTCTCTCTGCCTGCTGCCTGCAGTCTCGGAAGGCATTAGCTCAATATCTTCTCACTTTGTCTCCAACATAGAAACCTCCACTCATCCAGGCTGTGATGGAGGGTAGGAGGTCGGGGGTGGGGGGAGGTGGTACAGCACACAGTACAGATAAGCTCTATAGAGACCAGGGTGTAGTGCTCTCCACGAAGCAGACCCTCAGAGCCCTGTATCTTCTGTGTGACCTAAAGCCCAAGAACAGCAGTGACTTGGGAATCAGCCTAGACTAAGCCCTGGTCCCAGTGGGAGCCCAGTTTGTATCTGGTATGGGTAAGGGGGAGATTTCCTCCATAACCAATATTGTCACAGTTTGGGGATAGGGTAGAGATGCCATCACTCTCTCACAGGCTGTAATGAGCTCGGCCCACATCCCAAACAAGGCTGGGGGTTGGGAGGTCTAACAGTCCTCTTATGACCCCTCCCAGGAGGCTGTGCATAGGTGTTCTGCAGACCATGAACTGAACACTAGTCCCAGACATTCATGAGCACAGTGTGAGGCTCCTGATCACCACCCAGCAGCCCCTTCCTCTCTGGCACTAAGGACCCCCCGGAGAAGATGGGGAGGAAAAAGATTCAGATCCAGCGAATCACTGATGAACGGAACCGCCAGGTGAGGAGGTCCCAGAGCCTTGTGGTAGGTGAGCAAGGACAGAGAGCTAGCTCTGTCACCCATGACCAGTTCTAAAAGAGTTTTCTTGGAAACACATGGACTCCCTGGAGGTTCCAGTAGAGGGTGGGTCTAAGCAGAGAGAGGAACACTTTGTGTACCTCTTTAGCTCGCTGGCCTTAGATGGGCCAGGGTCCCACACCATTGCCACACCTTCAGGTTCCTGTCTCAGCAGGAGTCCCCCCCTCAACTGGAGGCATGCTGCTCTTCTCAGCCCACTGCACACAGAGAAATGTGGCCTCCTTTCTTGTCTGAGACTAGCTCTAGTGCTGTTTTGTTCCTTTCTAGACCATGGATTTCCGTCAACCGTGGCTAAGTCACCCTGAAAGTAGAACTCTAGGGAAGAGGCTATGTCTATGGGCAGGGGGACTCTTATCAGACCTGGCCACCCACTGTTCTCCTGCAGGTGACATTCACCAAGCGGAAGTTTGGGCTGATGAAGAAGGCCTACGAACTGAGTGTGCTGTGTGACTGCGAGATCGCACTCATCATCTTCAACCACTCCAACAAGCTGTTTCAGTACGCCAGCACCGACATGGACAAGGTGCTGCTCAAGTACACCGAGTACAACGAGCCGCACGAGAGCCGCACCAATGCTGACATCATTGAGGTGCGCGCCTGTGCCCACCTCTGCCCATGTATAAACCCATCTCTTCTCCTGAACCCAGGGTCCAAGGAAGGTGGGGCCTGACAGCAAAGGCATGAGACCAGGCCTCAGCTCAACTTAGGCAGTCTGTGATCTGCCAGGTCTGAGGAGCATCGTGCTGTCTTACGTTCTTCTAGTTCTTCCTTCCTTCATCCTCTGATATTCCTTCTTGTGTCTCCCTCTTTGTTCCCGTCTCCCCCTTCTGTCCTGTTCCTCTGTTGGTCTGTGTGGCTCTTGTCTTCTGTTTCAGAGTCAGACATGAAATGTTAAAGGATATGAGCTTTGGGATTCATCTCTGGCCTTTTCTTGCCTTGTGTCTTTAGGCAGGTGGTCTGGCTTCTCTTGGCTGTGGTAACTCCACAGATGGAGCAATGCTGGCTTAAAGGGGTGTTCTGTGAGCAAACAAGACAACCCAGTTCATGCATCTCACTCCAGGTTGCCAACTTGGGGTATAGAGGTTAACAACACTGGCTTTCTACCAGTGGACCTGAGTTCGATTCCCAGTACCTACATGGCAACTCATGACTGCCTATTACTCCAGTTCCAGGGGTAGGGCCCACCCTCTTTCTGTACCCCATGGGCACCAGACATTCATGTGGTACACATAAATGCAGGCAAAATATACACACATGAGATAAAGTTTAAAAAATAAAAATAAGCCAGGCAGTGGTGGGACATACCTTTAATCCCAGTACTCTGTGAGTTCAAGGCCCGTCTGGTCTACAGAGCAAGTACTAGAATAGCCAGGGCTACACAGAAACCCTGTCTCGAGAAAAAAACAAAATAAATAAATTAAAATGAAGCAAAGGGGGCTGGTGAGATGGCTCAGTGGTTAAGAGCACTGACTGATGTTCCAGAGGTCCTGAGTTCAATTCCCAGCAACCACATGGTGGCTCACAACCATCTGTAATGAGATCTGATGCCCTCTTCTGGTGACAGCTGCAGTGTACTCATATATACATAAAGTAAATAAATAATTCTTTAAAAAAAAAATAAAATAAAATAAAATGAAGCAAAGGCTGGCAAAATGGCTTATTAGGTAAAGACACTTACTGCCAAGCCTGAGTTTAATTCTCAGGAACCCCATGGTGGAAAGAAGAACCAACTCCTGCAAGTTGTCCTCTCACTTATGTGCTGTGGCATGTGCATGTGTGCACATGCACTCGAGTGCACACACACAGCTAGATGGATGGATAGACAGACAGACAGATGGATAGATAGATGTGATTTGATTAAAAAAAATCTTTAGAGTTTTGAGTGACCACAAATAGCTTGGGTCTGGGGTGGTACAGAGCAAAAAGTTCAGTGAGTACAGGTCCTTTGTGCTTTCTTGTATCGTCCTTTCCTGTCTCCATTCAGTTTCTCTCACTTAAGTAAAAACCTAGGGTTTGCATGGGCAGAGTCCCTACCCACTAAGCACACTCTCTAGGGAGCCGGCTGGACCTGGCTTCTCCCTAGACAGCTGTGGAGCATGCCTGCCCCAGGGAACACTGTAGGGAGGGGAAGATGGATGGATGGGGGGGGGGGCTAGAACATCTGGGAACCATGGGAGAGAAGGTTGGAGAAGAGTAGGGATTTGGGGGAGGAGCATGGAGGAAGCAGGAGGATCACTGCTGGCTGGCTGACTGAGTGGTGCCGTTGCAGACCCTGAGGAAGAAGGGTTTCAACGGCTGTGACAGCCCAGAGCCGGATGGGGAGGACTCACTGGAGCAGAGCCCCCTGCTGGAGGACAAGTACCGGCGGGCCAGTGAGGAGCTGGATGGGCTCTTCAGGCGCTATGGGGTGAGCCCTCCTCACCTTTTCTCTGGCCCCCTTCCGGCCTCTCCCCCAGGCGCTGCACAAGAAGCACAGGGAGTGTGAGAGCCCCGAGGTGGACGAGGCGTTTGCCCTGACCCCCCAGACGGAGGAGAAGTATAAAAAGATAGACGAGGAGTTTGATAAGATGATGCAGAGTTATAGACTGGCCGTGAGTAGTCGCATGGAGGAGAGCCTCCTGTGCTGCATGGTGTGGCTTCACCCAGCCTTGCCCGGCCCTCAGCTGCCTCTGATGGATGTGCTATGCTGAGCCATCCTTGAGCTGGTACTGACCACTCAGGAACTCCTGACCTTGGTCTTGATAACCCTCTTTTAAAGTTCTTCTTGCATAAACTAGAGAGACAATATCCTCTCACCAGCAGAAAATGCAGGTGCTGTGAGTCTCTAGAGGGAAGGGGAGAACAGCGTGTTCTTTGTCCCGGTGTTTTGGGGGATCCCCCTTGGGGGGATGGCAGAGAGATGGCCTTGAGCGGCTCCTAAGGCAGGCCAGATGGTGGTGGCCACTTAGTGAAGCCATAGCTTCAGTGACATGCGAGTTTGAGTCTGTACCCAGGGCACTAACTTGCTCCCAGTGTGTCCTGCCTGGCTGAGGACTAACCCACCTCCACTGGGGGTATCCAGTCCTATCTTCAGTGGGCAGAGCCTGGCTCTCTTGCCTTGGGTCAGAGCTGTATTGCAAGGTGCTCTCACCTTTCTGATGGGAGGTAGGCAGGGCTACTGAAGGGCTGAAGGCAGGGAGCCCAAGCTTCTAGCCTTTAGAGATATAGTTCAGGAACCAAAGAACTCTTGTGTCTACCCTCTCAGGCAAAATGGGTCTAGGGGGAGAGATTCACCCGGTATGACACTACCCTCCATCTTTCTGTCTAGTCATCTGTTCCGGCCCCCAATTTTGCCATGCCTGTCACAGTGCCCGTGTCCAATCAGAGCTCCATGCAGTTCAGCAATCCAAGTAGCTCTCTGGTCACTCCTTCCCTGGTGACATCATCCCTTACGGACCCACGGCTCCTGTCCCCCCAGCAGCCAGCACTACAGAGAAACAGTGTTTCTCCGGGCCTGCCCCAGCGGCCTGCTAGTGCAGGTAAGTGGGCTGAAGGGTGAGTCACTGAGGTGGAAGTGAGGTGTGGAAGGGGCTCTGGGCTTCTATTTTCAATGGCGGGTCTTCCCTTTGCAGCATTTCTGCATGTGTATGACTCTTGAGGGGAAAAGACCTAGGACTTCTCAGAGCCCCCTCTTGTCCAGTCCCCAAGACAAAGCTCATGGTAGCTCTGCTTTTCTCCCAGGAGCCATGCTGGGTGGAGACCTCAACAGTGCTAATGGAGCCTGCCCCAGCCCCGTTGGTGAGTGTAGCTGCCTCCATAGGGTGGCTCAGACCAGGGACCTAACGGAAGGGGAGAAACAACAGGGCCTAAGCAGAGTGCATCAGAGGATGTTAGCTGCCTCCCCTTCTTTTTTTTCTTTTTTTTTTTTTTCTTGAGACAGGTCTTACTATGTAACCTTGCTGGCCTGGAACTTGTTGTGTAGACTAAGAGGCCCTCAAATTCAATAGAATCCACCTGCTTCTGCCTTCTGAGTGCTGGGATCAAAGGCATGCACCACCACACCTGGCCATGGTCCAGCATTTTCAGATTAAAATGGGGCATCTTGTTGGGATCAGAACTTGTCTAGACAAATAGTAGGCACTCAGACACCACCCATGCACACAGGCTTCCCCATGCTGCTGCGGAGTCATCATACAGATGTGTACCTATAGGCATGCATACTGGAGTCATAGGAGGGAACTACCATTGCCCCCATGCCCTGACACTTCTAGCCACTCTTGATCTATGCTGGTGTCTGGCTGGTGACCTCCTTCTAATGTCACCATTGACGTCACCCTGTCATTCTTGTGAGTCTCAAGTGATCTTGGAATTGGGATAGAAACAGCAACACGCTTTGAGGGTGACCGTGTGGTCTTAGGGGACAGAGAAAGGTGGGATTTCTCACTTCAGAGACCACTTACATTTCTGAACCTCAAGCTTTTCCAGCTCAGCCTTGGCCAAGTGCTGCCTGTTTCCTGTCCTGGTCATTATGGGTCCTGTGTAAGGTGGGTGGGTGTGAGGGTGCTGGAGCAATGGTTGTGCACTAGAGTCATGCAACTGTGGACTAAAGGCATACCCCTTCTCTCTAGGCCTTGCTCACAGGCACTCAAGCCCAGCATTGGGAACTCAGTGAGATGCCCTGGGTGGTTGTGGAGACATCACAGCTCTCCCAGCTAATGTCATGTGCCCAGAACTGACAAAGTATCCATCCTGTGCACCTCACACAGCTGATGTGAACATGTGTGAGACACTGTGTGTGGAAGACCTGGACATGGCAGAGCTCTAGTTATGGTAGTGACCATGTCGTCAGCCCCCAGTGCCAGTGGCCTGTTTCCCCATGGTGGCATGCAGCTTGTCTTATGCTGATGAAAAGCACAGAGTTCCAGCTCCTGGCAAGGAAACAATCTAAATGGTTGGCTGGCTCTGGTAATCAGGCTCCTTAACGAAGACCAGATCACAGCCTGCCACCTTTTCCCACTCTGGTCATTATGCGTCCTGTGTGAAGCATATGGAGGGGTCTGAGTGCCAGGCATGAGGAATAGCAAAGCTGCAGAGCTTTCTTAAGTACCTGGGGCTGGCTGTGGCAATGGTTGCTTGTCAGTTCTACCTCTGGTCCCATTGCTGTGGCTTGGAGGCTGACTTTATGTCAAGTGATTAGGGACCAAGGCTTTAGGCAGTGTCAGGCAGTTCAACATCCATGTAGAACCCTGGCATGCCTTTGAGAACTTCTAGGTGACAGATATGCTTGTCTGGGGCAGTTGGCAGGGACAGAGAGCAGGCCAGCATTTTTCAGTTTCTCATCTCACTTCTCCAGGGAATGGCTATGTCAGTGCCCGAGCTTCTCCTGGCCTCCTCCCTGTGGCCAATGGCAACAGCCTAAACAAAGTCATCCCTGCCAAGTCTCCACCCCCACCCACCCACAACACCCAGCTTGGAGCCCCCAGCCGCAAGCCTGATCTGCGGGTCATCACTTCCCAGGGAGGCAAAGGGTTAATGCATCATTTGGTGAGTGGGTTTCTGGGCTTTGGCAGGGGCTGGGAGGTGGGAAGAAAAGCAAGAAATGAAGGTTAGTAGCAGGTAGGACTTCTTGAGAGAGAGACAGCATGGCTGTGAATGCTTTCTTCCCTGAGGGCTTTTGGACCACAGCAGTGCTGACCAGAGGGCAGTAGAAATGAACAGGAGCTAGGAGAAAAGGTTCTATGATGGAGAAGATGATGAAAGGAATTCACACTGCACCATGAGAATAAGGACTGGCTGACGATATCTGGCCAGGATACAGCATTTTATGACTGTCAGATAGACAGAATATCTAGATATCCTTTTGGACCAGAAAGAATACTCTGCTCTTAGGCAGATAGGGGGATGGGGTGGCCATATGGGAAGGGCAGGAGCCATAGCCTGAACCATCCTTTTGGTTTTATTTCTGCTCCCAGACTGAGGACCATTTAGACCTGGTAAGTGCGGCTGAGATGTTAACAGTATCTTTGAGTTCCAGCTGTGCCTACTGTTACTCAGTCTGCAGCATGAGTTTGTGTACCTGTCTTCTCCCTGTGTGTTTAATGTGTGTGGTTTGTCAGGAGCTGTGCATAGAGCTGAGTGGGATACTAAGGTGAATGGGGTAGTGGGAAGGGCTGGACATGGCATGCATGTGTCATCTGTGTGTGCATGGATGTCTATGTATTACCGCACTTATTCAGACACGTGTATGTGTGTGCATGTGGAGAAGAGCATGAGGCTATCTCCAAGCCTTTGAGGCCCCAGACAGATACCTAAATTAAGCCCTTAGTTTCCACTGGCCTCCTGACTCCACATAGGCCCACAACATTGGAACCCAAGACAGAGACCTAATCCTTACAAGAAAATCTAGGAAAGTCCGAGGCCTGAGGCAGTCAGTACTGGAGTTGTCCTTTGCAACTTAGCAATTGACTTCCTTCCCTGCCTGCCTGCCTGTCTGTTCACTCACCTCCTACCCTAGCCCATCTCACAGGCACTTAGAGACATGCACAGCCCCTCCTGTGCTTACACTCATCATCCGCCAGGAAAGAGGAGGGTGCTTCCTCCCCAGCTTGCTGACAGGAGGCCAGCAAGGCTGGAAAAGGCAAGCAGACTTTGGCGGCCAACACACCGGCAGTTTCGGCCCCAGTGTGGAGTTGGAATAAACAAGTGACTCAGCAGCAGATGGAGCTGACAGCCCTACACACGTGTGTGCATACATGCAATCACATGCCACCCCAGATCCCACGTTTCATTCCCAGATGCCAGTATACATTTCCTGGGGCATCTGCTACTGTAATGGGTATAGAGGAGACTTTAGTGGTCTTAGCCTAAGAAAGACCACATCTCTTCCTTCTGTCACTCCACCCATGTACCAGGGCAGTGTTTACATTGAGCTCCAGGCTGCCTCCATGCCTTCCTGTCTGTATGGGTGCAGATGCAAGTGAATCTGTGTGTGCATGTTTTTCTCTGTGAGTCTTGAGGCCTCCAAACACACCAGCTTTGTGAGTCTGTGGGCCTCTATGCTATGGTACCCTTGGAATTCAGGGACCTGGTTCAGATGCAGTATGGTTGACCAATTTTGGATAGCCCTCCCATTTGCCGTCTCTTGACAGACAGTTTTCTCCTACAGAACAATGCCCAGCGCCTTGGGGTCTCCCAGTCTACCCACTCGCTTACCACCCCAGTGGTTTCCGTGGCAACACCAAGTTTACTCAGCCAGGGCCTCCCCTTCTCCTCCATGCCCACTGCCTACAACACAGGTGAGTGCTCATGTGACTTGGTGCATTGTGCACTGTGCATAGGGCAGGTGAGTGACCAGAGACAGTCACTGGATGGTCCTTCCACTAGTTAGTAGATCAAACAAATAAAGACAGAATCCTGGCCTGGGGGTGTAGCACAGTTGGTAAAGAAAGGGTTCACCTTTCAGGAATGAAGCCTTATGCTCAGTTGCTAGCACTATTTATAAGCCAGATGTGGTAGCACTTGTCTGTAATCTGAGCACCCAGGAGATGGAGACCAGAGAACCAGAAGTTCATCGTCACCCTCAACTACACAAGGATCGAAAGTCCAGCTCAGTTATATGAGACTTTGTCTCAAAAACAAAAAGGGCTGAAGCGAGTGCCCAGCAGTCAGCCCAGCACCCACACTGGGTTACCCACTACTACTTGTAATTCCAGCTCCAGGGGATCCAACATCCTCTTCGAGCCTCTTATAGACACCTGACCACATGTGCTGTACATACAAACATACACACATAAAAAAACATTAAATTTTTTTTTAAAAGTTTATAAACAGAAATAACAAAATTCTTGATTTGAACTTCAGATAAAACAAGTTCTTTTTCAGTCTTAAATGTATCCCAAAGGCACTATTTGTGCTAAAGTATATCCTATCCCAAAGATGTAACTTTTTAAAATGCATTGTTAATGTAAATTTTACTTTTAACCAGGTATCTTTTCTTTTTAGCATAGGTCCTTGTGGAAGAGCAACTCCTGCCTAGTGAGGGGGACAGGCCAGAGGGAGCCTGGGCAGATGATCCAGGCACACCAGCCTACTAGAGTTACAGTTTGGGAACTGGGGAAGGGACCGTGGTCAGTGCAGCGAAGCTTCCTGGAGGGTGCGGAGTGGATTTGCTAGCTTCTTGAGCAGAGATAGCTCCGTGTAGCCATGAGTGGGAGGCAGGGTAAGCCTGGGGAAGGCTGCATAGGTCTAAAGGTGAACAGTTACCTGGGGACATGGCAAAGGCCTCTGGGTAGGACTGTGGGACATATAGTATAAGCTGGCATGGCCCTGTCAGCCTCTCACACCTTCCCCAGAACAGAGTGTGATGCCCGTAGCCATCCTTGGCTGCATTCAGGCTGCTGTGTCTGGCCAGGAAGGACTTGATAGTGGGGAAATGCTTTGTCATCTGGTCTTGGAGGTTTTGTGTGGCAGTAAGCTCTTTCCCAGTGAGGAGGCCTTTCTTACCCTTTCCCACTTCAATCACTGACCAGTGTTCAGGCTGTTCTATGGTGAGAGTAAACTAGAGCAGAACCCCTCCAAACTCCTCCACCTCTGCCAGTCCATTCTAAGCTGAAGCATGTTAAGGTACAGACTCCACTACAGATACTCACAGACCCCACCTTTGCCCTCTTTCCCAACGGCAGGAGAAATGCTGAGTGGCAGGCAGCAGCCTGCTTCGTGCTTCTGCAGGAGCCAGGCTATTGGTGACTCTGGGCAGGTTCTCCTGCTCAGATGTCTCTGACCCCAACTTCCTTGGGTTCCTCACATGCATATCCACTCCCAGGTTATTGACTCTTGAGCCAGGGAGGGGCTGGCTGCTTCAGAAGTGGCAGCCTGTGGGCCTAGTTCAGGGAACATAGGTAGGTAAGAGGGCAGTGAGGCTCCTGGAGCCTGTCACCCACTCCCAAGATAAAGAGAAAAACCAGCTTCCTGAGTCTAATGGGAAAGTGGGCTGAACACAGCTCAGATCACCTCAGAAGCGTTGTTTGTATGGGAATCCTACCATGGTGGCTGTCTGCGCTTTTCCCATTCAGTCTTGTGAAGCAGGAGGGAAGTTAGTTCATCTCAGCTCTCTTTGTAGACTGCTTATGTCTCTAGGATGTGAAAGCAGCTTTGGCCCCAAGAAAGTTCCAGTTCCTCTTTCTACAGGGGTAGCTGAGCAGACTTCTATCAGCAGCAGACATTGGCGGGCACCCCATCTGCTGTGAGCCAAACTCTAGTATAGTAGGTGCTAGGTGATCTATTACAGTCATATCCTGCTTCAGAGGAGGTGGGCCTGGCCTTTGTGGACACTACCTCTAGAGGTCTGTCCGTGGTGACCACAGAGCAGCTGAAGGTCACTTCTTGACCCTTAGGAAATAAACCTCCCAGTAGATAGAGCTCATTTGCTGGGATGGGGCAGGACTTAAGAGCTGGGTTCTGATCTTTCCCTGAGGTCCTTAGGTAAAGCACTGGCCTATTTTGGGCCTCATTTTCTTGTTTATAAAAAAAGCATTGAATATAGTTAGTCCTAGAGTCTACATTTTGCATTTATACTGGTCTTTAAAATGAGTAACCAGGGGGTTGGAGAGTTGGCTTGGTGGTTAAGAGCACTGGCTGTTCTTCCAGAGGACCCGGGTTCAATTCCAAACACTCACTGGTAGCTCACAACTGTTTGTAACTTTAGTTCCAGGGGATCTGACACCCTCACATAGACATACATGCTGGCAAAACATGTACATAAAATAAATTATTTTTTAAAATGATAAGGGGAAAAAGACTTTAAATAAATAAAAACTAATAACTGGCATTGACCAGCTAGAGTGAGGTAGTGGGGAAAACTGGACATGGTGGTGCACACCTTTAATCCCAGTACTCAAGAGGCAGAGGCAGACAGATCTCTATAAGTTCAGGCTACCCTGGCCTACATATTGAGGTCAGCCAGGAATACATAGTAAGACCCTGCCTCAAAACAAACAAAAACATGGAGAGGGCTGTGGTGCAGGTAAGATCAGTGGTGTTTGCCCAGCAGGTGCAGGGCTGCCTTCCACCCCCAGCACTGCAGAAATATGATAAATAACGGAACAAGGCATCAGTGCTCCCAGGAGCACTGCCGCTAACCTAGCTTTTCCTGTGAGCAGGCAGCTCCTCAAACCTGAGGCTGCATCTGTCTCATGTGAGCAGTAGTGCTTGGTCTGTGGAGTGCTCGCCAGGAGCCCGATGGTGTTGCTGTCCTACATGGCTTTTCCACTTGCTGCTCCTTGGCGGCTATGCTGTAGGAAGGAGCACTGCCTCTGCTCTAGACAGTCAGCACTTGTCCAGGATCTCACAGCCTGTAAGTGGAGGTTGCCAAGAATCTGTCCTCACAGCTTCAGCTGTGAGTGTTGCAGAGGTCAAACCATCTTCCTTCACAAACAGGGCTAGAACAAGTGACCTTGGATTCACAATGGAACATAGGTTGGGTGACTGGACAGTACACATCTTTATGGCTCTTGGGGAAGTTATTTCTAAATACCTCAAACAGAGTACAGCACAAAGCAAACTAGAGCTGTGTGAATAGCAGGTGAGGTGTTTTAACAGGTCAGTTGTTAAAAATGAGGACGTCACAGTATCTTAAGATCAGTGCTTAGACAGGAAGTACCCTATAAGTCTCTCAGAACCTTGGCCACTTGGCCCTAGCTTAGGCCCTGAATGAAGCCCTTTTCTGCTTTAGGGACATAAAGACTGGATGTTAGACCCATTTCCTCTGTATCTCTATGGGAGCTTAAGCCCTGTTTAGGTAGAGTTGAGATGTGGGATGTGTTTGTGGCCTCTGCTTCCTGGTCCCATCCTGGGGTTCTCAGAGCTCCCTTCTGCCTCTCCACTGCCTGAAGCTGGCCAGTGAAGAGACTGCAGTTGGGTTGATACTGGGCCTTCTCCATTTCCCTGCCCATTTCTTTTTTGTAACTGCCCTTATGAAAGCAATGCTTACACATGATTGATTTTTAAAATTGACAATATCTTAAAAACCACTTGTCCTTTTACCCTGTTAAAGAAAACGTGCCTTGTGCTCTCTCTGACTGTCATTCTCATGGATTCTTCATTCTTCACATCTGTGCTTAGACACCACCTGCCCTCCCAAAAGGGGTGAGTGAGGTGCTCCCCAACAGGTTCCCCTCACTTTCTCTTGCTGCAGATTACCAGCTGCCCAGTGCAGAGCTATCCTCCTTACCGGCCTTCAGCTCACCTGCAGGGCTGGCACTAGGCAACGTCACCGCCTGGCAGCAGCCCCAGCAGCCACAACCACCACAACCGCCACAACCGCCACAGTCACAGCCACAGCCACCACAGCCACAGCCACAGCAGCCACCTCAGCAACAGCCCCACTTGGTCCCCGTTTCTCTCAGCAACCTCATGTGAGTCTTTGGGAGGTTTTCTTTCCATGGGGATGGTGGGGAGTGAGGGACAAGTTTCCTTGGAGTTTTGTGTGTATTCAGTAAGTGGCAGTCCTGAGCCCCTCCACCCAGCAAGCAGGGCTGAGGGTGTAGGCTTTAGAAGATGGACAGAGTGGTATGGACAGACTGCAGCTAACACTCATTTCTCTTCTTTCCCTTTGACACATGTCTCCCTCTCTCCTGACTCTCCACTCTCATTCTGTTGTGTTTACCCTGTCTGGTGACTTCTTCCCACTATTTCTGTTACTGTCTCTTGTGTCCCTGAACTCCAGCCCTGGCAGCCCCTTGCCCCATGTGGGTGCTGCTCTCACTGTCACTACCCATCCCCACATCAGCATCAAGTCAGAACCAGTGTCCCCAAGTCGTGAACGCAGCCCTGCACCTCCTCCACCAGCTGTGTTCCCAGCTGCCCGCCCTGAGCCTGGCGAAGGTCTCAGCAGTCCAGCTGGAGGATCCTATGAGACCGGGGACCGGGATGATGGACGGGGGGACTTTGGGCCCACACTAGGCCTGCTGCGCCCAGCCCCAGAGCCTGAGGCTGAGGGCTCAGCTGTGAAGAGGATGCGGCTGGATACTTGGGTACTGTAACATTGCCCTTCTGTCTGCCGGTGTCTGCGTCACCCAGGGATGCCCCACATGCACTCAGCCTGTTTTCTTTCCCACCTGAGGCCTTGTGGCCAGGCATTTCTTTTGGGTCAGTACTCACAGCCCTCGACCCCTCCTTGCAGCATTGTTCCCTGCTCAGTGACCTCCAGCTAGCTTCGCCCTAGAGTGTTACCCTTGGGAGAGGGTTGGGTGCATCCTATAGCCCACGCTGTCCCTCACACCACCTTCTCCATCTCCTTTCTTCACAGACATTAAAGTGATGGTTCCCACTCCCTCCTCTCAGCCTCCCTGATGAAGAGTTGACAATCTCACCGCCCACCCCTCCCTGTCCTGGGCTCCTCCCGCTCGACCCCACTTCCTTTCTTCTGCTCCATGTCCTGTTGATGGTTACATTTGTGTATAATTATATTATTATTATTATTATTGTTATTATTATTATATTTTTAAATTCAAATTCTCGCTTTAGAGAGAGGGATGCTCTTGCCCCTTTCTTGCCCCCACCATTTTCACTGATGGGGGACTCTCTTTATTGCGGGAAAGGGGGGACACTTTGCACGTTGTACACATATGCTGCAGGAAGGGGGGAGGCAGTAGACCTTGGAGAAGGACAGGTGCCGAGCCCTGCATGTGGAGCCCTCCCATCCCATTCCCAGATAGAACCAAAAACTACCCAACAACAAAACCCAGACAGAGGACTGAAACCCAAAGCTGGCTTGATGATGGGCTGGTGTCTCAGGGGATAGGAGGAGGCAGAGTTTCTGCTTCTGGGCTGTTCACGGCTAATACCCATCCTGGTCCCTCCAGCTTCCTGCATACATACCACACTCGCTGATCCTGTGTGCTGCACCCCAAGATCTGGGTGATAGAAAGGCTGGCTGCCTAGGATTCTGAGGCCAGGGCAGGGGCTTGAGGTAGGAGTTTCTAGAGGTAACATGGAGAGAGAGAGAGAGAGAGAGAGAGAGAAAGAGAGACAGCTGTAGAAAGAGGGCTGATGAGGACAGAAGGACTGGGTGTGGTGAATCGGGACACTACCCCAAGCTTTTCCTTTAAGATGTATAGTGCAATAGCTCCCCATCCTTGATCCTACCCCACCCCTAAAGAAAGCTGGCCATTTACTGGGAGACTTGGGAGAGGACCTTCAGTGAAGCGGCTCCAGGGTGGGCCAGAGGTGTCCTTTGGTTCCCTGGGGCACTGAGGGCAGGAGGCCTATCGGGCAGGGTGGGAGGGCACCTCACAGCTTTTGTGCACCTGTGTCCAGAAGAATACACATTGGGCACATGCATGGTCTGTGGAGCTAGAGGGTCCTATAGATGAGGCCCCTGGCCTTTCCCCTGGCCTCCAAACTCCTGCCCCTGACCCACCTCCCAGCTCTTTGCGTGCTCCTTGTCTCGCTACCTCCTGTCCCTCCACCTCCAGGCCACATCCCAAACCTGCCCTCTTGCTACTGTAATTGTAAATAGAGACCTTTCAAATGTTAGTGGTGTAACAGTCCAGGAAACTGTTGTGTTTGTTGTTGTTGTATTGATATGAAATGAGATTCTATTTTTGTCAAAGTATATTGTAATAATAATGACTCAAATGGCCCGTACTGTACAGATGAGATTCTCCTGCTGTGTTCTTGCCTTCCTCTCCCGGACTCATGCTTTGTTGCCACCTCAGTGGGGCTGCAGCACGCGCCAGGGGCAGCAGAAGCATTGGGTGCTTGGACCTCTTGCTGGATCTGAGGTCAAACTGAGGGAATAGTCTGCCCCCTCCCCAGCCTGCTCTGTCACCACCCCTGCCCTTCCTCTGCTTCCCTGCCCAGGAAAAGGGCATGGGAGACAGCACACAGTCCCATGAGGCTTCCTCCCAGCTGGAGGGGAGAGTTAGACAAGGCTCAGTGTTGGAGTAGTAAGATGCTCTTTGCCCACCTGTGACCCAGCCTTTGTAGTATTTTGACACTTGATGCAGGGAAGGAGCCAGAAGCAGAAGGGTGCGAGCGTGCTCGTGGGGGCGTATCTGGGTTCACCCTGTATTTATGTGTTTGTGTGCAGCTGTGCGGATGTACCTTTGAGTGACTCAGGCTCCAAGGACGTGTGTCTGTGAGCTGGGTGTGTTTACAAGGGATAGGCAGCTTCCAACTCTGTGGCTTCACCCCCCTCCTGGGGCTGCTCTCGGTCCCAAAACATTTTACTAACATTATGGGGGAGGGGAGCTAGTTGGCCTTCCTGCTTTTTCCCCACAGCCTACCTCCACCAGGGCTTCACATTTGGAGCTCTGCCTCCACATGGCTGTCCACTAGCCCCACCCAGTCACAGTTCTATCCCTGGAGTTCTGACTTGTTTATGGAGCCAACTCAAGTTCCTCTTCCTCCCGGGAGCTTTGCCTTTCATAAGGCAGGGACACCCCCCCCCCCAGACTTTTACTCTAGTAACTGACCAGGCATGGGGTGCCGCCCACATTGCCTCGTCTTCCGACCCCTCCTCAGTTCCTAGAGGAAGTTTTGAGACTTGCTTAAGGCCTTGAAAGAAGCTCCTGTGCTCCCCTTGAAGTAGCTGGCATATTGTAAGCCCTCAGTAAATGCTGAATGGGTGGATGACAGGTGCTCAATAAATGTGGAATCACGGCCTCATCTCAGGCCCAGCCTTCTAGGCTGAGCTTGACCACCATTATACACAGCTGGGGGGAAGCCCCTGTAGTTCAGTGTGCTACTCAAAAGTTTGCCATCTGCTTCCCGAAAGCAAACCTGGCTTGTGATTGCCATGTGTGTGCATGCACTCTGTGTGTGCCTGTGAGCGAGTGTGTGTGTGTGTGTGTGTGTGTGTCTGTGTCTGCCTGCACACGAGTTCCTGTGTGTCTCTGTCCCTGACAGTAGGGGCAGTCTGTAAGTGAATATGTGACATTTCTGCAGTTCAGTATCTCCAGGTTTCTCCTGGGGGCTATGCAGGGGCTTCTGGCTGGCCAGGTAAATGGATCCCTGGGAACCCAGACCTCAAATGGGGACTTACTTTCTTCCTCTCACAAGCCAAATTTGCCTCCTATCCTCTCCCTCTACAAAACTGGGTATTTGCCAAAGTAGCCTCTGGCGTCACCCAGTGCCCTTCCCACCCCGGTTCCCTCTGCTTTCAGGAACAGTGGGACCGAGGGCCACCCCCACATGCCTCAGTGGAACACATTTCCTCCATCCTCAGCAGTGTATCCAACCATCCCTCCCCAACTCAAACAGGAAGGAAGAAAGAAATGCACCTTCTCTTGCTCGTTATTTATTTGTTTGAGAGACAGAAATGATGGAAAAGTATCTAAAACTCTGTCTTATTTTACCCAACTCTCTGGAACCCCCTGTGGGGGAATGTAGGCTCTCTTATAGGCTGGGAGCTCCTTGTTCTACCCGTCTGTTTCTTCGTGAGCAGAAGGGATGGCACATAATGGGGAAGGAGGGCTGAGATTCCCAAGGAGAATCTGAATTCTCCACCCCATTCATGTCCCAGAAAGAGGGCAAAAGGGAGGGATGGGGCCAGCCAAGAGCTGACCCATCCCCAAACTTGACAATCACCCACACTCCTGGCTCCTGGGTCTTGGGTGAGTCCAAGTGTGTGGCTGTTGATTTGTTTTCATTATTTCTTTCCGTGCTGTACGGTGATGCTTTCTAGTATTCTGCACATTAAGAAAAGTCCTCGAGATTCTTACGAGTTTGGTTTGGAAACTCTTTCACTATATTTGTTGTAAAGAGGTTTACTATTAAAAGAAAAAAAGAACATGTTTCTGATACCTCAGTTTGGGTTTTGATTTCTTTGGTGCGGCGAATAAGGGGAGGAAGACCTAGTGTGCCTGGCAGATGGGTGAGGATCTGGAGGGCAGGCTGTGGTGTTAGATCTGTCAGGCAGAACCCTGGGCAGTTGCTCCAGATAGAAGCCTTGAAAGGGATCCTGCAACATGGGAAGGACAAATGTTCCTAGGGTCAGGTCTAGCTCTCCCTCTGCAGACAGCCTTTCTTAGCAGACTTCCCTTGGCACAGTTAAACAGATGGAGCCCACCTTCACAGCCCAGCAGTGTCCCGCTAGCACAGTGACATGCACCTTCCACGTCCTGGCACAGCCAGGCTGTCAGCAGAGTTTGGCATCTCTGGAAGCCTTGATACACTGCCCTGTACCCGGTTGTGTCATGTGCTGAAGTAGCAAAACAAGTGAGGGGTCTTTGCTCAGTGGCTAAGACTGCCCTGTAAATGCTTGTGGTGACGTGGTCTCCTGATAGAGGTGTTGGGAGAGGAGTCAAGTCAGGCAAGGCACAGAATGTCTCCAGCCTCAGGTTTCCATATTGCAAAATATGTTGGCCCTGCCTTTCTCACAAGGTCACTGGATTTCACCTCACTTCTCCCTCAACAGTGGCAAAGAGATGATGTCCTGATCAAGAAAGGGTTAATAGGATGTTGTTCTCTAGGCAGGGGCTGAGGCTCATTTGATAGTGCTTGCCTAGTTCAGTCTCCAATACCACATAAAAGCGGGCATGGCAGCACACACTAGATATTCTAGGTATAGGCAGGAGGATCAGAAGTTCACAGTCATCCTTAGCTACATAGGGACCCTGTCTAAAAGAAAGAGTATTACTGTCCTTCCACAGTGGCTTCCCACCATCTCTGCCTGTTCCCACACTCAGTAACCAATTGAAAAAGGCAAGTAATGGCATGTGCTTTCAAATGGGAAAGGGTAGCTTCTGTTCCTCTTGTTATCTGTCCTAAGCTATGCTATACACCAGCCCTGTGGAAAGCCTACATGCCAAGGACCAGTGGCCCCCTGCCAGCTGCCATTAGAGTGAGGTCATCTTCAGCAGTATAATTCCCTAACTTCTCCAGACATTGCTGCAGGAGAGAGCGTACAAGCAAGATGTACTACTCAGCTCAGCCATGCTCACGGAAAGGACTCTTCTCTAAGGTGACCTCAGAACCCAAATTCTTAGCAAACATTTCTGCTCAGTGCATCTCCCATCTGCCTCAGTCTGTCTTGCCTCCTCTTATAGGAAGGAAGACCCCACTGGGTTCTGGGATAAGCCTTACTGTTGCTCACAAAAACTTGTGTTCCTTGTCTCTTCTGGTGTTTTCCCAGCCCCTGTAGTTCAGTGGGGTCTTGGGGTTGGTTCTGGCCAGTGGACTAATGAGCTGTAACGTGTATCCCTTATGAAGTACAGGTAGCTCCTGCCCGTCCAAGCGCTGGTTTCCCTGTCGTGAGTATTGTTGAAGAGCATGTCAGTGTGAAGTGCCTTGGATCAAATCAGCCTGGGTTGGGGGTCTGACGCCCTCTTCTGGCCTCTGCAAGCACTGCATGCAGATGGTATGCTAACATCTGCAGGCAAAACACCCCCATACATGTTTATTTATAGCAGTCTGGATTGCCAAACCACCTCAGGGTGGTGTTAGCACCAGGGGAACTTTATGTGAATAGAAATGAGACCTGCACTATCACTATACTATGCTGGCCAGTGTGGTACATCTCCCACTCAGTCGTGAGGCCCCGACTATTTAAAACACTTATAGTGTGATACAGAGGTCTGTGGATTATGCATAGCCCAGAGTGTGGTCTAGTTCTGACACTTGCTGGATGTTCCTATACAACATGAACAGCTGCCTATTTTCTTATACACCTGCCCTTCTCAGGCTGTCCCCCATCTTTGGCTCCGTTGATAATCTGACCCTTTCGTGGTACTCCATAGCTCAACACATAAAGGCAAAGGTGCTGCTTGTTCTCAAGGCCTTCAACAGGCCAATACAAGCCCCCTTCCAGGCTCAGTCCATGCCATTCCTTGGACTCTAGGTGTATACCAGAACAGAAAGGAATCAGTTGGTTCCTACTGCTAGTAGGAACAGGAGACAAAAGAACCAGTAGAAACTGGCCACATCCACTCCAAACTATTGGTCTGGGAAGTATCTTAGAGGAAGTGTTTGACCATTTGAAGGCATGTAGGAATTTCCTGAGCATATGGGACTTTACAGAAATCAAACACTGGTGAAAGCCAACAAAAATAGCATGTAGAACTGAAGGAGTAGGCAGAAGCCATGTGAAGGGCTCTCCTTAGCATCTGAGGCTTTATTCTCCACATTCTAGGTCTTCAAAAGGGTTCACGTAAAGAAATGACTCAGGTAAGCCAGGGGCTAGAGTGACAGACAGGAGAATGGGGAGTTGAAGGCAGCCTGGGTTTCACAGTAGGACCTGTGTCAGAATGACCACAGAAAACTGAAGTAGGGCAGAGATGCATGCTTGCAGTCCCAGCATGAACAAGTCAAGGCAGGAGGATCAGGAGTTCAAGGATATGTGGATTACAGAGTGAATGCAAGACAGGCTGGCTTACATAAGACACTACTTCAGAAGCTGAAATAGAAGAATACTTGTTAGCAAAAACTGACAGTGATGCATTTTGGAAGGATTACTGAATCAGACCAGAGGCTGGCCTAGTAAGGAGTCAGTCAGTCTCTCTCTCTCTCTCTCTCTCTCTCTCTCTCTCTCTCTCTCTCTCTTTTTTTTTTTTTTTTTTTTTTTGTTTTGTTTTGTTTTTTTGAGATAGGGTTTCTCTGTGTAGCCCTGGCTGTCCTGGAACTAACTCACTCTGTAGACCAGGCTGGCCTTGAACTCAGAAATCCGCCTCCCTCTGCCTCCCAAGTGCTGGGATTAAAGGTGTGCGCCACCACCACCCAGCTATCGCTAGCTTTCTTTCTCTCTCTTTCTTTCTCATCAGGAGTGTACCACAGGGTTTCATTTCTTTTCCTTCCTTCCCTCCCTCCCTCCTTCCTTCCTTAAGGCTGTTTGACACAGGTTCTCTCTGCCCTCCTGGAACTCACTATATCAGATTGGCTCTGAATTTACAGAGATCTACCTGCCTCTACTGGTATCAAAAGCATGTACCACCACAACTGGCTCATATGGCTTCTTAAACTTTTCTTCTCACAAACCTCTCTTCAGCTGAATTCATGTTCTGTACATCCAGAACATGAAATGTGCGAATCAAACATTTGTCAAAAATGACAAGTTTGTATTTGTGTATGTATGTGGGTGTAGGTATATGAAGGCCAGAGCTGGTGGGTGTCCTCTGTCACTCTCTACCAAATCTGGAGTTTGTCATTTTAGTCATACTAGCTGGCCACAAGTTCCAATGATCCTCCTGTTTCTGTCTCCCCAATGTGGGATTACAGGCACCCACAAATGTACGACGCTTTGCTGCAGGGGACCTGAAGGCATACTTGTACCATCTCCATAGCCCCCCAAATTCATTTTAGATAAAATTCTTTAACTTACATAAACTATCTACCTACATTTATAATCTTTACAATTTTTAAAGATTAAAGCATCCAGCCCAGCTAAGACTACATGAGATCATGTCTCAAAAAAAAAAAATTAAGGCAAACTTTCATACTAATGAGATAGATGAATTTTTATATAAATCTTGGCTGAAGACTGGGTATAGTGATACCTGCCTTTAATTCCAGTACTTGGGAAGCAGAGGCAGGCAAAGCTCTCTTGAGTTCCAGGACAACCTGATCTATAGTTTCAGGGCAGCCAAGGATACACAGTGAAATCCTGTCTTAAAAACCAAAAAGCATTATCAATTAATCTTGGCTGAATATTTGACATTCTCCATGTAGAACCTCTTCAATATTTTTCAGAACTAATATTTTGATTGAATACTTGTCAACGCTGAGTATGCTGCTTCACATACAGTACAAAATGGCAAGTGTAGCCCAGTCAATTTTGTTAACTTGACACAACCTAGAATCACCTAGAAAGAGAAAACCTCAACTGAAGCACTACCTCGAGGGGCTGCAGAGATTGGCTCAGGAATGGCACAGGGATGTAGCTCAGAGATCCTGCCCAGCAAGCAGGAAGTCCTGGACTCAAACTTCACTCAGCACTTAATACTTCAGAGGTGGTACCACACACCTGAAACCCTAGCTCAAGGTCATCCTCTGCTATGTAGTGAGTTCGGGATAACGTGAAATACATGCAAGTCTGTTCAAAAAGAAGTAAATAAAATGAAACTAAAGCAGATATTCTAACATGATCCCAAGGTTCTTTAAAAATACTGATTGGACAGGCTAGAGAATGACATTATCTGGCACAGTGCCTACACAAGACAAATGAGAGACAGTGCATATTTTTTTATGTGATTTTACTTGTGTGTGTTTGTGTGTGCACACGGGTGTCCAAAGCAGGGCATCAAGTTTATTGGAACTAATGTTACGGGCAGTTGTGAGATGTTGACATGGGTGCTGGAAACAATTTAGGTCAGCAAACATTTTTTGTTGTGTATGTGCATTGCTGTTTTGCCTACATGTTTGTCTATGTAAAGACAGTTGTGAGCTGCTGTGTGGGTGCTAAGAATTGAACCCAGGTCTTCTGGAGGAGCAGTCAGTGCTCTTAACGACTGAGCCCCCAGCAAACATTCTTAATGTTCCAACACCCGTTCTGTTCGCTTCAGGACACATGTGTGTACACACACGAGATTTTTTTTTTTTTTAAATAAAAAATACTCCCAAGTTGCCACTTTTTGCAGCTTCTCTCCTTTTTAGCTGAAGGACAAGCTCCTTGAGTACTGCCATATAAAATGGAACGAGGGTGTGGGTCTTTTGGACTCAGCTATCAAGGTCAGTAGTTCTTCGGAGCATTCAGTGTTGTCTAATTGTTCATGCCACGAGGCCAGTGATTATTACGTTCTGACTCATCCTTAAGTCCCATGGGCTATCTTTTCCAGCCTTGTGATTGTATGGGAACTTGTTCAAGGAACAGCAGAT